TTTTTTTTTTTTTTTTTGCTTTTTGCTTTTGTTTTGTTTTGGGCAGTTAATTGAGAAGCATTCATGTAACAAGATCAGCATAGTAGAAATGTTGAAAACATTTGCTAAGTCTTGAAACAGTTTCAGCACATGATGTAAATGAAATGTTGGACGGTGTATCAAGAGAGGAGTTTAGAGTTTAGAATATAATAGGAAAGGAGGGTAATATTTCACCTCTTTATAGAGTTCTCTCTTGACCAGTCTCTCAATCTGCAGTAAGACAGAGATCCAGGGGAGTAATAAAAAAAAGGTTCGTCAGGGACCAAAATAGGTCTATTTCTTTCTCCTTAGATCCTTAACCTTATAGGTGTGGCCTCTGCATTCCTTTAGCACTTTAGGACTTGATGCGTCTCCATATCATTATTTTACATAATTTTTCTAACAGATTTGTTAGGTTGTTGAGCCCACAGATAATTAAAAGGAAGAGAAATTGTTGAAGTAGGAATTACATTCTCCTAGGGAGGGACTCCCCACGCCAAAAAATAAAAAGAATAAAAACTTATAAAAGTATAGCAAGAAAGTAGCTTTACTGTTGGGGTATATTAGATAAATAGCCCAAACATCTACCTCAGGGAGCTTCTAAGGATATGCATGCTCTATTGATCAGAGAAGAAAAATTAAATTACATTTAAAGTAATATGAAGAAAACAAAATTTTTTCAATGTAAGTCTATTCAAAATGGCAAATTTTGATATTTAAATGTTATCTATTTACTCATAAAATTATTTAGTTCACAAATATGAAATGAAGTCATACTTTGAAATACTTAGTCCATATGTATTTTGATCTTTGAAACCCACAATGTTTATTTAATAGTCACCTCTTATCATAGCATGTCTTGAGTACCCAGTGTGTACAGAGTGTAGTAGAAAAAGAAGGCATATGATCCCTGCCCTCTAGGACTTTGCCTACTGAGAGGAAACTGAGCCTGAAGTGACAAGTGATCACATGCTTGTGTTTCAAACTATGGAAGAGTAATCTGAGCAGAGTGCTATATACTATGGAAGACTTTTTAGAGGAGAGGTGAACTTTGAAATGAATTTAGAAAAAAGTATGTAAGGATATGTGTG